AGCTAAGTCCGTGTCAGAGCGGCAACAGTGGCAGCGGCAGCGGGAGCGGGAGCGGCGAGCAGCAGCGAGCAGCGTGAACGACGAGCAGGGTTAGGGTTGAGGAAGTCGCGCTGATAACGATGCTTTAGTTGGTTCGATTGAATCAACTAAAGCACCGAAGACCGAACCAGACCTAAACCATTGGTTCGGTCGCCTAGTTTAACCCAGGCGCTCACCAGAAGCACCCGACGCCTGGGCTCGGGCGAGCGCCTAGGCGGCGCCTCTTTGAAGCGCGCCACCTGGAAATGAAGCGAGGTGCTCGCGCTACAGTGCTCGGTACACCTGGGTGTACCGCTCGGTACACCGTACCGTACCGGTACCAGGTCGAAATACCGGTACGGTACGGTATTGCGAACCTTGATTTAAACCTTCAGAAAGTCATGATAATGAAAGATTTCCTTTTAATGAAAAGTGAGATTTCACCCATTATCTATAAGAAATGAAATAAGTCAACAAAAGCTGTGGAAAATCATCTCAAACAACAGTTGGTATGACAAAAGCACTTAAAATCCATGTGAGTGCTCTTTGTCCTGCAAAAAGCCTTCTTGGAATATTAAAACTGTACAATTTACTCAAATCAAGTCCAAATTAACAGTAAGGTCGGGGTCTTTCTTACACCAAATAATCAACAGCATACACAAATAAGCACTCACGGTCTAAAGACTAAGCCTACTATCTCTTTACTATAGGAAGATGATGTAACTAGTTAAAAACAGAAACATGTTTCATGAAGCATGATGACTATCATACACTGACAAGTCAACTTCAAGAATCACAAGCAAAAAGACAATGTTAAGTTTGGCATAAGGAAAGCACTAACCTTCCTCTCCTTTTCCAGGATTTCTCTAATGGGGCAATGTGCAGCAGCAACACAAAGATTCTGAGGTTGATTGCAAGGATAAAATATCTCATTTACTTGTAGCCCTAAAAATTATGAAGAAAAATGGTCCAAATAACATGCGATAAGAGGATACAGACCTTCATATCACTTCCTGAATACCCATCAGTCATATTTGCTAGAATTTCCGTATCAACATCTGGTGCCAAATCTTCCTTGGTTAATATTACTTTAAGTATCTTCTCTCTATTGGCAGCATCTGGCAAGTTCACCATTAATCTGTCAAAAGAAAATAAATTTATGATAAGGTGAAGAGTGAAGACAAATCTTTGTTGAACACTGAAAATAATATACTGATGTCTACCTTCGTGGAAGCCTCCTTATCACAGCCTCATCAAGGTCAAAAGGCCTATTGGTTGCAGCTAGTACCAATACACGTTCTTTATCTTTAGTGCGTAAACCATCCCAGTTGACCATAAATTCATTCTTCATCTTCCGCATGGCTTCATGTTCTCCAGGATTTTCACGCCTCCCCAACATGCTGTCAACCTATAAGCACACAAGAAAAATACTAAACAAAAGATTAAGAAAATTTGAATCCTGTTCCTTAATACTGCACAACTAGAAGACTAAGGTTTAAAATCTCAGTCCAATATTGTTTTTGACACCTTGACAGATGAGTACAGTACCGTTATACCAAACTATTTACCGAGATGTACAGTCCAATATTGCTGAAAAATATTTTTAAATGAAAAATAACCGGTACCAAGATATAAGGTCCTATACCAATTGCTCCTTGGTCATACAGGTAAATACCAATTGGTATGCACCAATCAGATTGGTACTTCAAATTTTTAGCATAAAAATATTAGAAAATCATTCATCAATTTCAAATGTAAACAGTTAAGTCAGCTGACCTCGTCCACGAAAACAACACTAGGAGCAATTTTACTTGCTAGTGAAAAGACTGCTTTTACGTACTTCTCCCCCTCGCCAAACCACTGTTTTAAAGAGAAATTTAGATACGATTAGAAGTCAGAAACAAAAAGCTGTCACTGATCAGTTAGTTATAAAATAAAGTTTTACCTTCGAACTAATGCTTGACATTGATACATTGATGAAGTTTGCACCAGCTTCTGTAGCAACAGCTTTAGCAAGCATTGTTTTCCCCGTACCAGGAGGACCAAAGAGCAGTATCCCTTTACATGGCTATGACAAGTTCACAAAAAGATCAAGAAAACAAATACATATATACATATAAGTTTCTAGACATAAACACAAGCTACAAGAATTAGCATCCCAAATAAATCAAAGACGAAAGATAACATTCTTGACAGAAATGCAAACCATTGTGAGGTTGTCAAATCATCAACAAACCTCAAACTGAAGTAGACTAGAGAGGATGAAATAATTTTCTTAGAAAATTATGCAACTGGTTTTGTTCTGACAATTTTGAATTGGAAAATGTAACCGGTTGTGTTTTTAAGTATTTTTTATTTTTAGGATTAAAATATAAAAAAGGGTTGTGCATACCACCCGACCGAGGCCCGGTAACCAGGCCCATTATCAGGCCTGAATCGGGTGGCAAGCTTGGTTCACAAGGTTTACTGGGTGGTAAGCCCTGTATCGCACATAAACAACCCAAAATTAGGTAGCCTGAACTCTGAATATTGGTTCAGGACCTGTGAATTCCATACATTCGTAACCAAATCAAGAAAAATTGTATTCCTTGATTCCAGATTTGGTCTCCAAAAAAATTAAATAACTTTGAATAAATTTTGACATTGGAAAAAGGAAAGGTTGAATCAGGAACATAGTAAAAGATCTTAAAGAAGAACTCAAAATTTGTGCATTGGAGACTGCTAGTTTGATAGCTCTATTAGTTAAGCTTCAATCTAAGAAGCAGAATTATACTAGTATTTTACGATAATAACTTTCATGTGATGTGGATGGTTAAAATGGCGAGGGGCATTAAGAGTCTTGTGTTATCATCAGATACCTTTAAGATTAAAAGAAAAAATTTATAAGAAAGTTGTGAGACCAACAATACTTTATGGATCTGAGTGTTGGACAGTTAAGAAATAATATATACAAGAAGTTTGTGTTGTCGATGTGAGAATGTTGAGATGGATGTGTAGAGTTACTGGAAAAGATAGCAAAAGAAATATTTTTATTCGTGAATGATTAGGTATTGTTTCAATAGAGGATAAGATAAGAGAAAATTGCTAAAGATGGATGTGATAGTCAGAAGGGATGAAATGATTAATGTTAGTGGTACGAAGAGACGTAGAGGAAGACCTAAAAACACTTTAATAGAAACTATAAATAAAGCTTTAAGTACTCTGAACTTAACTAAACATATGATTTTTTTCATATTTCAATGGTGACAAAAAATCTATGCAGTCGACCCTAAATAATTGAGGCTTACGACCTTGTTGTTGTTGCCATTGAACTTTCATATAATGTCTAAAGGAATAAAGAGCTTTGGATAATTATTAAAAAAGAAAACATCAAAATTATTAACAAAACAAACCAATACTCATGCTCAAATGCTAGAGATTACACAATTTTTTCATGAGAATTATTTGAATTTCTAAAAGATAAAATACTAAATATTGATGCCCCCTTGATATATGTATATAGCAGCACTCCATCTCATGACATGAATGTAGAAATTTCAAAATGGTTCATATCTTTTGCACAATGCATGCTGCTTTTCATTGCAGCTTGCAGCAGTTGCATGCAGAACCTTAGCATATGCTGGCACAGGCTAAAGCATAGTTTGCTTGCTATGGAAGTAGAAAGTTATAAAATTTGAAACATGATTTCTATTAAATAACTAGACTCTGTGATTATCCAGAAATGAGTTAAGAATCAACGAGATTATCAATTGACAGTCAGGATATAAGCTTTACTAGAAGTCTACATCAGAAAAAGTTTAAGCAAGATTCCAAGGGAAGCATAACATATATGAAACCAAGCTAAAAGCACGTGTGCCTTACAGAACAAACAAATAAACTGCATCTGAAAATTGAGATTTCTAAAATTACTTAAAAGAAAATTTGATATACCTTTGTCAATTGTCCTTTACAGAACAATTCTGGCCTTTGCAATGGAAGCATCACCAACTCTTTTAATGTGTCCTTAACATTTTCTAAGGCTCCTATATCATCAAATGTGACTCCAATATCATCAGGAGGAATGACGTCAGATATAAGCCGTTTCTCAAATTCATTCTCAGTAGCCACATCCTGAAAAAAAAAGGGAAGGGGGGAACTTAAAGAGGACAAGTCAAAATCCTTTCATCTTCTTTGAAAAGAATGTTTTGAATTAAGTGCTGACCAAAAAAATCATATAAGAAGACAATTTTCGAGCACGAATTAACAAATAGGTATTTAGCTCAACAAAATTGTATGAGCAGAAGGTAAACAAACAAACAATATCTTAGTACAAATCAGAAAAGAGGGTAGCTACCCATCTCACCTTCAGTGATTTTTTTGTACTCTTGGAATCACTTTGGAAGTTTTGCAGCATTTGCAGACCGTGCGTGATGCTGAAGGGTACCAACAATTGTTATAATGGATCATAGATAACTAGTGGAAATTATCAACAATTCAACAACAACAAAAAGATAACCTTTCACTTGAAAGAATGAGTTTAGTTTTTTCTCCAGATGCTTCAGATGTGTTGTTCTTAAGGTGGTGACTAAGAGCAAAACCAATTACTTTATCGACACCTGGAATGGTTATCAGATTAAACATGATCTGAAGGAAATGAAAATTGATGGAGGAACCTGTAATAAAAGATATCACTCACTTTCACTTGAAAGTGTTTGATCCTTTATGCATATATTTTCAAGATTGTTGCACTCAAATCCAATGCGATTTAGGAACTGAAACATTGTAGAAATATCAAGAAAACATATAAAATACAATTATTGATACAAATCCCACAGAGCAAACAAAGCATATACTAACATAAAGGAAACATATAGAAGAAATGTGAGTGCACAGTTTCACAACAAAGTAAGGTTAGTTCAGAATTTTGAAGTCCAAATCAAAAGTATATAAAAGATAAGGTGCTTAGAAAACAAAATTCTTGACTTTTGAATTTTGATGTAACATATCATACTTGTGATCTTAAAAACCTCACCCCCAAACCCTGACAACCAAAACAAACAAAACACAGAAAACTAAGGCCCAATTCTTTAATTCTTACATAAACAATCAAGAACCCTTTTTTTTTATGAAAGGCTAAGAATACCATATGATAGACGGAAGTAAAATAAAATGCATCAGGACAACTTGGTGTATGAGGTTACCACCGAGGGCTCAAGGTCAAATGTATTTGGTCTTACCCCAGCAGGTCAAGGTGTTTAGGTCCTACTCCCTCTATGACAAATATGTAAATCTTTTGACTCTCTCTAAAAATTACATTTTAGATTTTTCATATAAACACTAATGAAAAAAATCAAATTACATATTTGCACTCTACAAAAATCAAATTTAACCATATAAATAAGTTCTTTTTGTATATACCAAGTGCTAAAATAAGAACTAATAGTGTTATCAATTTCCTATTATTCTGACAAATGTTCATGCAAATGCATTCATATGAACATTTAGCCGTTGGTATATACAAAAAGAACTTATGTTCATATCAATTTTACACATACATTCTGACAAATGTTCATGCAAATGCTAAAATAAGTACTGATGTTTATGCAAATGCATCAATGCACAACCTATTTACAGCATTCATAACTGATGGATGTGTAAAATTTTGTTAAGTACATATGCCAAGATCAAATGAGAACTACCAATTTAAAATATTTAATTTTCAAAGATGATAAAAGTAACTCTATATGCATTCTAAAATGCCAAATCTAATGAATGAGTTGCCATATAAGTGTTGCATATGTCCTCTTGGAGACTCTCCCATACAATACTTCCTATATTTGCAATGATAGCTAATATTGGAGTCAAGGCATAGAGTTGAGATATAGAAATGGACCAGCAGATGGAGGCTTAACTTTAGATTATATTGTAAATAAAGATGGAGATGAATATAACAAAAGGAGATTAGGCATTTGGGAGAAGATTATGATAATGCAGAAAGAAACAGAAGTTTACTTAATTGAAGATAGATAGGTAAAATGGAGGGCATTTATGTCCATTACATTTAGCCCCCTTTCAACAAAACGAATTAAAGAAAAAGTAGCAAGATATACCAATCCATATTTAAGGTTTCAATATGCAATGTCTCTATGGTTAGACCGTGGAGTTAAATGCTACTGAGTGCAGTCCAATGCCTCCTGCTAAGGTATAAAAATTGAATCAAACCAAATTAGCTACGGAATTTGTTTGTCAGGCTAGCCCAACACGTTCTATGGCCAGAGCAAAATTTTGAAAAGAAAAAAAGGTTTAGGCCCTTGAGGTCTCAAAACCATCTCCTTTTCAAGTGGAAACAAATGCAAGGAAAAGGAAGAAAAGAGATAAAGGACAAGGAGAAAGAACGTGGAGAATAAGCAGAGGGGAACTCACAGGCTCAGCCTTCAGTCTACCCTCCAGCAAGAAGTGGGGGAAAGAAACAGTTACAGGAATACGAGATCTTCTCACATTACACAGATGTTGGATATGCCAACAACTTTTAGAGTACGCAAATAGGATAACTTAGATATATCAAGACTTACAGCAAAAGAAGATAATCATAAGAACAAAAATGTTCTGCAGAAACTCTGATTGATCGTGCCAAAAAATCATGAACTTACAGAACGAATGTTTAGAGCATTGGATTTAGCTTTAAGCGTTTCAACATCACTATCAAACTTCCTTTTCCATTCTGCAACTTGCCCTTCATCCTGAAATTCTTGCATATGATTGATCTCTCTAATAAAAAAAAAAGAATCACCCTTAAAAATTAGCATTCAATATCTTTTCAAAACAATATACCTGAGGTGGCTGGATAATAATCTTATTTGGGAAAAGTTTTGCAAGCTGCTTCATTGTTTTGGAACTTTCTTTGCTTCTCTCGTGCAACCTACTGAAGCAATCCTGCACTTCCACCAGAAACTGAATTTGATACTAAAAAACAAATGGGAAATCTGAAAGATGAAAAGAAAAGACTTCATATTTTGTCAAGATGTAATGGAAAAGCATAATTTACTAGTAAGTTTAACTCCAATAGCTAATCTAAAGCTATTATCAGCAAACCATGAGACAGAAGGTTCAGCATTATAAGACATTTGCTTAAATTGAGCTTTCATGTACGAATTCATAAATTCTATCTGTGAATAGTGGAAAAGGAGCCTTTAGTTGGACTAAAGAATTGAACAGAAATAAGCTATCTAGCCACAGGCACAGGCATTACAGCCTGCAGAATTGCTGCATTAGGCCATAGCAAGAGGGCAGATTTAAAGAGAAAATAAAAGAATAGAAGAGAAAATTAAAAGAAAAAGAAAGCAGGAGAGATAAGAGAGCGAGGAGAAAAAAATTCGTAGGCACACCAAGAGGGAAGAAGGAAAGTGAGACTGAGAAAAAGGAGATGAAAATAGGAAAAAATGAGAACTTGAGAGAAGGAAAGGAAAGAGGAACAAGATAAAGAGTGGAAGAACAAGAAACAAAATATACTTAAAAAAGTAAAAGATTATAAGCAACCAGATCTGTCAGAGGACTGACATGTAACATTTGAGAAATGATTTGTAATATTTGAGGACTTAATTGTAATTTCCAGGGATTGGACTGATCATAACTTTTTTATACTGAATCCAATATGAATGATCTCGTTGTCTTTAAATTCCTTATGAAGTAAAGAGTTTTCCTAAGCTGGTGATGTGATAAAACTCCTGCATGTTGTTACCTATTTAATTTCATATTCATAGTGACAACTATCTCTCTTTCATAACATATTCATTGACATCATATTTTCATGTACCATTGACATCATATTTTTTTGATATACAAGTTTTCTGCACAAGCATGCAAAGTGATGTTGATGAATGATGTCTCTAAGACAAACTGATACACATGCCTATGGACAATTTGTCACCCTATTAATGAATAGAATAGCCAGCATTGATAGAAAATTCTTAAAAGATACAAGCGGATCATTAGACATGGCAATGGGCAGTTCTCCATGCTTGGAAAAGAGACATGTTTTCTCTATTATGACAGGTGGAGCTACCACTCAATTCCAATGATGGTTAGACTATGATATGGAATAACACCTCGCATTTGTAAAAAAGATTGTTCCATCACGAACAATCGAATGCTTCTGATGTGCAGATAGGCCCCCGACTCTTTTATATGACATCCTTTATAATGCATGATCGTCTTTAAATCATATTCATTATGATCACATTCTAATCAATGTTACTTTTTAGCATAATATCATTGTTCATCTTGTAAGCTAATTAAGGTATATAGTAGGATTTGATGGTTTCCATGGTTTATGACGAAACAACCCCTACAGAGCTGAAAATCCCAAGCATTTTTTTTTCCAGGTACTTAACAACTTTTAGAACTAAAACTATAAAGAAGCTCTTAGATTTAGAGGTGGAGATCATCAGTTGATTGTTATGTTTAATTGTTTATTAACTATTTAGCTGAATTGTTTTACTTTATGTGAAATATGGAGAGAATATTTTGTTAGTTATTAGAAATAATGATTACATTGAGAACTCGCACTCTAATAATAGATGAGCTTACGCAAAGTGTCAACTCGTTGTGTGATATTTGTGCCAGGACTTAACAGATTTAACATCACAGTCATTGTGACAAAGTTTGTTTTCTCATTGTAATAGTAACATTGAGTTACAAAAATGAGGTTTGACCTATTACATCCAAGGCTTCATGTTTTTTCCAACACAAACAGTTTGATGACAGACCATGCCAAATCATGTCATGCTGGTACCAACTATGTCATATTAAAGCTAAGTCAACTTTTCGACGAGTTTCAAATAGCAAATGGATAGAGCCCATGGCATTGTTCTAAGTTTCTAACAACATACTAATTCCTCTCAAGCCACCAATTTTTATAACTTTATAAAGCATTGTTTTCCTATACCTTGCTACTTGAATTATGAGATAGATCCGGACAATGTCCATTTTAATGATAATCCCAACTTTATGTAACCAATGCTTTAAAAATAATGCTTAGAATGCACAAAATAGAGTAGGTATCATAAAGATGCCAAATAATAATATATGTCAATTTTTTCTCAGGAAATATCACTCCATACCGGCAAAGCAAAATCAAGCAGTGCAGTTTGGTTGCCTCCAAATTTTGTAAAAAGAAGACCACCAGGGTGTGACTGCAACATATATAATTATATACTACAGTTAATATTTCCTACAGTAAGCCAAAGCAGCTAATAAACCAGTTTCAATGTAAACGAGAAAAACAAAAAGTACCTTCTCTTTGCGGCTGTCCAACTGAGTATTGGAGCAGATAACAAGAATGCCTGCTGGCAAGGAATCAATCTTACTCTTCATCGTGAGGTATGAATCGGTACCTCCAGCCACAGATTTCTCAATGTCTTTAAAAAACACTATTAGAGGACCATGTTGACATTCCTCAGATACAAACTGGGTTAAAAAGGAAGTTTGCATTTAGTACAAGAACAGGAAACAATATACCAAATAAACTAAAGAAGAATAGGAACTACCTCAAATAACTCATTTAGTGCAGGTCTTCCTGTATCTTCTCGCGTAGAAGTATCTGGGCGAAGAGAGTCCGCTGAACAAGAAAAAAATGAGAGAAGGCAGTAAGATTTGTGGCTTTTATATGCGAATTTATTTTCATCAGCATAAAAGTAAACTTTAGAAAAGTATCTAATAGCTTGATCAGAAGAATCAAAGACGATATAGATGAGAGATCTACCAGCACAAAAGAAACCATGGTGTTCTTCACAAAGACCACCAAGGTCATTGCCCTCAGCAATATGCTTATCAAATCTAACTCCAACCTTCGCAGATTTATTTTCTTCAAAAGCAAGGAGTACTTTTCCACGAAAGCCATAATTTGGACCTCTGTATATAAGCAAGAAAAGAACTGGGTGACATGAAAAGGCAATATCAAAAGCATTCATAGTTAACTTAGAAAGTATAATTGGATAACTATGTTTGTTAAAATCACAAAAAAATTGCTTCTAAAAATCAAAAAACCCAATAACACTTATAAAAATCTTCAGCTGTACCTAGAACTTGCCTCAACTCAAAATCTCATCCTTGAAAAGAGACAAGGGGATAAAGATTTTGTAATCCTGCCTAATTTTTGGAGGAAATCAATACATGGAAATATAAATTGCTTACTGTGGGGAATAAATGAGTGCTGCTGTAACAAACTGACGCAGCGATAGCCACATGGGACAGATATGACTATACAAACATGCTGTTAAAGCCCCAAAAAGAAGACTATGCATAAAGAGGGAAAAGAAATCAGCAGCACAGCAGGGAAAATACAGTTTTCCTAGAATTAATATACAATGAAAAAGTCAAAACTTGACTTGCAGAGGATTTATTCAAATAGGTAAAATGTCCAGACTCAGACAGCAGTTTATCTTGTTCCTCTAGTATGATACAGAAGGTCTCCCTATGAGTCAAGATAAGACAGTTTCAAATTTTCAATCAATAAATAAATATTCAAGTAAAACTAAGAGCAGCCTTCCAGGGGTTCTTCTGGATGTATTCAAAAATGCCTGAGCGAAAAATACTCAAGGCAACTTTATAAAAATCCCAGTTGAAGCAACTTGACGGATCATTGCAATGATTAGAGTGTACCAAAAACACATCTTAAAAGTGGGTCTGTTGTCTTTTCTTGATAACCTCCTCAACGAGCAGAATCGTTACAATGACTCTCTGGCTACCAATTCCGACACAATTTTGACATATTCTCGTTTCAAGTGAATTTGCTAACCCTCAATCATTTTAAAACCTACTTGTAGATCTTCACCTTTTGCTGCATCCTTCAAGTTCACACTTTGATTCTATTGTAGATGATCTATTGTGGGAACCAATCTAGTTGCTTGAATATTTTATCATTGCAATAATTATCATCTATGGATTTTAATTTTAGCAAAAGGTGCTGTTATGACTAGAACGTCCCATAGCAAGGAGGAAACAATTTGCAGAACAGGGATGTTTTGTGAGCCACTGTACAAAGGCCTGAACCTGCTTTTAATTGGACCAAACAGTAAAGGCTTTTAGTTGAACCAAATACTGAAGGCATACCTGAACCAGCTTTCAAATGGATGAACTGGTCATAATCTTAAATCCGGACAAGAAATGACTAAACTGGCCAAAGTTTTTCTCGACCATTTTGGATACGATTCACAGAGGAAAAGTGTGGCTCACCATTCTCATATCACCTCATGACTCATTGTGCTGCCAACCAGAAAGGAAAAGACGCTACTACTATGGGGGAAGACTAGAGATGAGAAGGCATTATTATAAAGCAGCACCTCATCAAGGTTAGTATCTTAAGCTTTTCCTGTTTTCTCTTTTCGTACCACCATGTTGTGCCATTCTAGTGTGGCTTGAACTATTCCAACAAGATGCAACTCTTTATTGCACTCTTATAGTCTTATGTACCTCTATATTTTGAGCATGCCAATTAGGAACAGATATGTTTTTGCACAAAATTCAATAGAAACCAAGAAGCAACAAATAGGATTGTATCTTATGTACCCACTCTCATACCAAAACTGGTTGGTACAATTTCAAACTGTTGTACTACAGACACAAGATCATATGAAGGTGAGAGCAATAGGATTCAAGTGATGTAGAAGTATATCTGAAGAAGAAAAATATGATAAGAATGCACATACAGATCATAAAATTTGTAAAACAAAATAAAATAACTTGTGGCTCATGGAAGTGATGTCTGTGACTCCTATGGGTTGTTTTCTAGGCCTACAAGGAGGAGATCTCCTTCTGCAAGTCCTCCTCTTTTCTCCCTCCATTGCTTTTCTCTCAATCCCTTTACCCTCCAACTCTCTCTCCGTCTCTCTCCCTTTCTCCGAATTACAAAGTAGCAAGCAATACCTGCAGCTAAGGTTCCCTTCACCCTCCATTCCTCTAGCATATAACACTAGCATAACAAAATAAGCATGTGCTCTACATGATATCTTCATTCTTATTTAAATTACACAATCCACCTAAAACCATAGACAGAAACAAAACCTTAGATATCAAGGACCACCTATAGCAAAACTCCTCATATAAACCAACTATCGGACATAATATACTTGGCACAATCAGGCACAATGCAATAAGATTTGCAACACCAAATGGTACCGCCCATACCGGGCAATACATACCGGTCCGCCAGTTGACAGGCATGCGGACCGCCTGCTATCGGGCGGTATCACCCCGGCTGCGGCGAGGCAAGGCGAGGAAAAAGAGGCGTTCGAAAAAGAGGGAGAAAGAGGGAGAAGCTTCGAGAAATAGCACCCAACGCCGCCTCCTCCTCCTCCTCCTTCTTCGTCGTCTTCTTCTTTGTTGTGGCGCCTGTTGCCATCGCTCCCTCGACGCCGCAGCTCTTCAACGCCCGCTGCCATCGTTCCCTCGATACCGAAGAAGATTCTTCTTCTTCTGCTCCTTCGCAGAGGCGCCCGCTGCCATTCCTCGACGCTGCAGCTATTCACCTAGGGTTTGGGCGTTGCTAAGTTATATATTTTTTATATATTTAATATTGCTTAAATATAATTTATTTAATATCGTTTTAAGCACACCATCGTTAGCTATTTTATATTTCTATGATTATATATATATATATAATATTATTTAATATTAAAATTAATTTTAATATTTTTTAAGCATACCGTTCGGTATGCCCATATCATACTGTACCGAGCAAAGCTTGAAACTCTGGTACAGTACAAAATTTCAATCCTTGCAATGCATACTGACATGTGTGAAAGGATAGAAAATGAGAGGATAAAAGAAGAGGAAGGCAGAAAGACAAAGGAAAAAAGGATTCAACTTGGCAAATGGTGGCGAAGCATTTAAAGACTACAAGTCGATGGAAACTAGAAACCAATCTAAAAGGTCAATGCAAAGGTTGAACCATCATAGATCTTCCAAAGCAATCTCCTGAATTGTAAGGGGTCAATAGCTTCAATGGACGTGTTTAATTTTTTATAATATAGAGGATGTAATGATTGGTTCTTTGTACAAAAGGATAAAACTGGTTGATAGAACTTAGCTTGATGTGAAAAAAGATGCTTCAAAGTCTACATTAATAACTTTTTTATCGGTACTCACTTTTCAAATGTATGACTCTGTATTGGTAGTAGATATTGCAGTACAGAGTGCTATGCATAAAACAGATGGAGATGATGATTTAAAATAAATCTAGAGCAACAAATATAAAACTTTATACAGGTATTATTTATGCAGGTACTATCGACAATTTTTAGTTACTCAGGCATTTAACAACCAGCAATTAGACACTTCTATCATTTTTGTGTAGGCCTACAACTTGCCCCTGCTCACAAACCAAAAATCCTAAATAGAGCATGCACTTGATCAGGAAAGAATGACAACTACCAAAGAAGTGTTTATTGTTAGCTAGTTTTGCTTAGTCCAGACAAGTTCACAAATATTCACTGGTCTGACCAAGAACCATTAATGTACCATACAGCTTAAGACTGTTCAGTATACCACTTCTTTATTATTTTTCTGTGATAGTGGGCCATATAGGTTGGTATGACACTCAATATCTCAGTACCATAATAATAAGTTGGCATGTGCTCAATATTGCAATACCCACTTTTAATATAATGACTCTGTATTGGCTTGGTTGTAGATACTGCAGCTCAGAGTGCTAATAAGACTTCAAATATAAAACAGATGGACATGGTAACAAGACTTCAAATATATATACAACAACAAATATAAAACTTTATACAGGTACTGCTCACATTCATAGATACTCAGGCATTTAACACGCAGCAATTTGACACTCCTATCAATTTTTTGCAGGTCTGCAAGCCTAAATAGAGCTTGCACTTGATATGGGAAGAATGACAACTGCACAAGAAACTTTAACACACAGCTAGTTTTGTTTGATCCAGACAAGTTGACCGATATTCACTGGTCTGACCAAGCACCCTTGGTACAATAGAGCTCAAGATTGCTCCACATACCACTTCAATATTTTGTAGTGATATCGGGTCGTACAGGTGGTACGTAGATAACAATAAGAGAGGTTGAAACTGGCATTGATGGTATTTAAAAGTTCAAACCTTGCTTTAGGTACACTGCTTTTATCATAGAATAACTCTACTCCATCATTTAAATATTCAAAACTTGTTATTGTGTATTATCTTCAATTTCTTCGAATGTAACTGATGAACAATTTTCATTTTATCTGCATGTAAAAAAGTTGCACTTCTGCAGCTTCAGGTTAAAATTTGAAGATCGACAATAAAACAAAATAATATCTCCAGCAGGATAGACAAAGTTGTATCAAAAAACTATAAAAATCAATGAGGACAAGTATGGACATACCTTGGAATCAGAGGAACCTCGGTTGGTTGTGATGGACCCACGTACTTCACTCTATCACCTAGATAAGCATTTGTTCATTATGGGACACAATTGTGAGAATTGAGAAAAATGATCAATCATGAAAAATTGCAACATTTTTTAACAGTAAAGTAAGAAAATTGCCTTTTTTAAAAGGGCAGGATTTTAGTGAGGCAGTTGAAGTCTCCTGCTTTGGTAAAGGTTCCGTATCAAGAACAGATGACTCCACAATATCAGCCTTGACAGTAGAAGTTGGCCTCCTATGCTGGAAACAAGCAGACAATGCACCATGTTGCTTATCAGTTGGTTTATCCAAATTTATTACTTCTTTAAAGGACTCAGAATCCTTCGAAGATGGTCCCTGAAATAAATTATGGAAACATCAAGACATCAAGTATTCCATTAGAAATTTTTGTCTTATCATCCACTCTCAATTGTAGGCAAACTCAGGCATCTTAGAAAGCCTTGTATAAAGGCAAGAAAAAAGAATATTACCGATGAACTCGTGAAAGCATAATCCATACACAAATTTAAAAAAAATTACAAATGGTAAATCGAAGAGAGAAACTTACACCAAGTAGTGTGAGACAATCTATTATAAGCACTCTAGCATCAAACTCTTTAGCAAGTGCCTTTACTAAAGTTTCCTGATATATTTCAGATCCTGTACAAACATCGGCAGAATAAACAGATCTTAACCAGAAAGCAAAATGCACAATTTTTTTTATAAGTGAACAAAGTTGCAGACCTGGTGGACCAGATAGTAGTACACGTTGGCTCAAAGATGAAATATCACTCGTGTATTTCAAGAACTCTTTGCATTTCAGGTGAACAAAGGCACATGAAACAAGAGGCTGCTTTGTATTCTCACTGTACAAAAGAACTTAGCAAGGAATTAACCACTTGACGATTTTTTGTTTACACGTACTACAAAATAAAAGCATCATAAGGTATCCTCCAATTCCTACGAATAAGAAATGGATATAGAATACACACAAGTAACAGCAGTAATTCACATGTGACATCCAAGCATAACAGAAAAGGCTAAAATGAATATGGGTTAAAAATGGCAAGATCTACAACACCAAATTACAGAGCAAAACCCATCATATCAGTTGCACCAATTAGGCACTTGTTTCCATATTTCTTAATAGGAACTTATGTCTAGAAGATTAAAGCTCATGCAATTACATGGGAAAGATATCAGTCATCAGATATATGCACATAACTATTCAATTCATTCGATAATTAATGTGCTATGTGCATAATAAAAATAGCTTGAAACTGCATGTAGAAACATGTAATTAAGATAAAACATCTCTATGTACAGAAGAAACTCATAATGGTCACTCTTAAAATAAAACCAAGAGCAATATATGCATACATCCTAAAGAAATTATAAGGTGACAAGCATCGACAAATCACTGTTAAAAAGGATGAATAGCAAGATACTTGATAACAAGTTAGCAACACTTAAATAGTTGAGTTTTAATTTAATGTCATTGGATCTTATATAAGAAAGATTGTAACAGTTTTTGTGGTTAAGACTTAAAGACTTCTAGAGGATCATGATCCTGCAGCTTTTGTCAGATAGTCAGGGACAACCTACACAAACAATGTCCAGCTGACAATAATTTCTGGCACAAGACATACCAACTCAGTGACAAACAGCAAGAGAATCCTTGGGCTCTATGTAAAGGGCATTCAATGTGTATGCATAATGTGCATGACACAACTAAAAGCATCTAAAATCAAAGATAATTCTTCATTTCTACATAATATAACATTAACATGCCACTGCCCCCACGATCATGCATGATTGAGCCATAAGAAGAAAAGATATGAACTACAAAATTTCAGCCAAGAAAATTGAACCTGATTATGAAAGGAAAATTTTAGAAATAAAGGCAACGACAGCATCGTAGTAACAAACTAGGGCTCTCATATTATAAAATCCAAGCAAAAATAACAGAGCCAACGTAGATTAACCAGACAGCAAGCCAGCATTTAACCCATAAATGTATAAATAAAGCAGAGATGTGACGTCATAGTGAATTGATCATGGCAAAGAAAGAAATAAGAATGTGAAAAAAGAAGTTATTTCACTATAAACAGTTAATCAATTGATAGACCAACTCTAGGTGAATGACATCAGCCAGAGTGTTAAAGTTGCAAAGAGAGCTCAAAAGATGATTGTTAGAACTGCATAACTCTAAACCAGAAATAACTCCAAGAAGACATATAAGTTGACACCAAAAAGGCAAGATAGCCTCCTCGAATAATGGCTTATGACATATAATACTTATTAAATCAATGGCCACTAAACCATGGTACACATGATCAAGAAGGATCCAACTATAAGAGGTTTCACATATTAGGTGGTCCATCAAAATTTAGGATTTGTTGATTTTCATTCAATTTCAACGATAAAAAAGAGGGATGGGAGTCTAGATCTCAGAGGTAGCTGAAGTAGAAAAAGATAGTGCAGTAGGAGCAGAACTCAAAAGGTAAGCATATCTTTGAAACACACTGATCACCATTTCATCTGGTGCTTGCTTCTTTTCCTTCATTCCGCCTATGCATTCTGTTAGCATAGTGACTCCCCATGCCATGCATGTACCATGTGAGCGGCCTGCTAAACCAGGGGGTGCTAGCAACAACTAGAACCTTGATCATCCACAGGCACAAGAAGTAGAAAATCCCTATGATTTACACCGTACTACCACATCAAACCTAAACCAGCTGATTAAATCTTGTATTGAAACTAGACCATGTTCTTTTCTTTTTTATTGAGCCACATGAATTTGCAGCAACTGCACTCTTTCATCAATGTTATGCAGTCTAATCAGCTTTAGAATTAGATTCAATGAATTATGTATCAGAAGTCCAGAAGATATTCGTTTTGTTTGCATTTGGCCTGCTTAAGCTAAAGCTAGACACAGTTAATACTACTCCTGTGGTATGTACCTAAAAATATTGTTTGCATCAATTCCTAATGGTCTGGTAGTGTCATAATGTGGGTATAATAGGTATTTACACATTTGTTTAGTCCAAGGCTCACATTTTGTGTACCATAATGTACTGATCACGGCTCAAACTGATACCATACCAGTCTGCACCAGTGCATCGAGTGTCCATACATTGTATACGTACAAGGTTGAAAAAAATAAACTAAAAACGAAAAAAAAAAAATCTGGTACAGAGCGATACCAGTCCTGTATCAATTGGTACTAGCCCTGTCTTGGGTGTACAACACATTTTCCCAAGTTCGTGTATCGATAACATGTAGAACTGGTAAATACAGTCTATACCGAATCATATCGGGCGTATCTCTGAAGCCTACCTTTGAGGGCCCTATTTTAAGGCTTGATCAAAGCAAAATAAAAAAAGAATACCAATGATGTACATCTGAGGCTCAAATACTTCTAATATTGCAAAAAGCCAAAAACCAATCTTATTCATAAAACAGCATATAATACCTCAGGTAGTAGGAAAAATCATCAAAGGAAACTTCAATATCACTAGCATCAATGATCCCTCGTTTCAGACCATCTTTAAAGACCTGGGATCTAGTTGATGACAAACTTGCCAGCAACTCAAAATCCTTGACAGACTCCCTTTGATCCTCGAAGAGCTTGCATGTGTTTGCATTTAGCTCCAAGTCAGTCATTGGTTCTGTGTGTGTAAAGAAATAACAAATTTTAGTAAAAGTAACAAACTTTTGTATGAAAAATTTACAATATTTAAGCTTTCAAGAAAACTGTTATGGTGAAAGGACTAATAGCAGAAAAAAAAAATTGCATCTAGAAATATCTGAGAAATATCTCTTTGAACCAAGGTTTCATATTCCAGTCGGGATGGGGTACCAAGATTTCAGATACCATCAATATGCACCATACCAACAGGTACTTTCTAGTCCAAGCAAAGACCAGTATCAACCCATACTGGTCGGTATCATTTTTTTTAAAAAAAATCTTCAGTTGAGACTGGGTGGTACAGGTCAGTATGCCGCCCAGTACGCTAGTACCATACCATCCAACAGAGTAACAAAATTGGTCTTGGACCAAGATTTGAAACCTTGCTTTGAACCATGTAAAAGTATTCTCACCACTAGGTGCAGATGAAGGATGAACAGATAGGTCCTTCTTTAAGGTTGATAAAGATGCTAGCATTGAAACTACAGCAGCTGCTGAATGGTCTCCAGGTCTTTTCTCAAATTTAAGTCCTTTTTTGGAAGCAATCTTCGTCTCTAAGGAACTATGAAAATTATGTAAAGTTGGTGTATTCAGTTTCTCCTTGGGTAGTTGCTGAAAAATCTGAAGTTATATTAAGGAACTTGAGAAGAAAAAGTAATAAGTAGGGAAGAAAAAATTGAACTGATCATTTAACTATATCCTTACAAATTACCAGAAGAAATGAGCCCACTTCCAGGCAGTCATGTAAGATTAAATAAAAATAATTGAAATCTCACTAGATTTGCCTCACCAGGTGTACCTCATTTAATTTCTCCATAAGACAGACTAAATTATGCTTAGCTTCATAATTCTTTTTGAAATTCTCAATAAGTATGCTTCACAAAGATCATTCAAAAAGACAGCAAATGCAAGAAGCAAAAGCTGAAAACTGGGAAAGGATACATAAATATGTTTTTCTGGTCTACTAAAAGCAACTTCATCTCCTCCAATCAGAATAATGGAATTTTTGTCAACAGTCTTTCCATTTACTTGTATGACTCCTTTTGCCCCAACAGTTTCAAGTAAAGCAACAGATGCACCACCACACTGACACAGATTCCAAAACAAAAACACAATGAAGTTAGAAATTAAACACTTTTCTAAAGAAAATAACCATGGTACCTTAGTTTGCCTTAGTACACATAGGGTTGTGCCAACAGATGGATCACGCAATTGCAGATCACAATTTTTGCTATGACCAACAGTGAATAGGTTACTGCAGATTGAACGGGAAGGATTCTGGAAAGAATAAATCAGAAATATTATAATATCAGACAAGACTAAAGCAATAAGATGCTACAAACCAAATATAAAGGTAAAAGAAATTGAAACCTTCTGATAAATGATGCTAGATCTTGATGGTCCTCAGAAATCAGATGCCAAAAACAACATAATAACCAGTTCTCTTTTTCAAGTTTCCTTATTTGATAGCAATTTTTTAAAAGATATTTATGGAAACTTAAAATGGTGATTCCAGCTAATATTATACAGTTAATAGTTGTGAGACAATTAGAATTTACTATAAAATATAAATAAAGATTTAAATGCTCTTAATTTAATTAAAGATAAGTTCAATAGTGGCAAAAGATCCATGTAGCTGATCCTTGTTATTGTAGTTGTTGTTCTATTACACCATTATAGCTCAACCAGCTCAATCACAATAACAAACACATAACCAAACACTAACAAATTCTGAATGGGGATAAGAAAAGGAAATCTTATTAATAAAATGTCACGTCACATTTCACTCGACCAATGTACATTCCATATTAGATTTATTTCAATGCATATTAGACCAGCCCATGGCATTCCCATTCCAGTAGATTTACAGTGTGGATTTGATTACTAAGTCAATAATTTAGAAAAAAACTTGATCAAAGAAAACAATCAAGAAAAACATTAAGAGCATATAAATATGCATGACCAGCCATGTATCACCATTAGAAAGGAAGAGAAGAGATCCATGGAAAACATAGCAAGCGGTATGGCACCTTTTATATGGTCCTATTGGAATAATAAACAAATAACTCAAAATAGCAAATTATGAATGAGGATAAGAAAGGAAATATTGCTCATAACATGTTATGTTACATCTCAATCAACCAACAAATACTCCATAATTAATTTCAACGAATACTACACCAGTTGATGACATTCCATTTTCAGTAGATTTACAGCATGGACTTGTTTACCAAACCAATAACTGATAAAAGACTTGATCAGAGAATACACATGAAGAGCATATAAATAAGCATGATCAGCCATGAATCACAATTAGAAAGGAAGGGGAAAGATCCAAAGCAAACATTGCAGGCAGCCAGGCAGCATGATATATCTTGATATAAGAGTTCACGTCCAAGTATAAACAGGTCTAGTAACCCAATTATCAAAGTCCAACCAAATAAATATATTAATATTATAGATAAATTTTAATTTCTGGGACACCAAAAAGGAAAAAACTACAAGAGTACACAACAAAGACTGGTTCCTAAACCCCATGAACACCTCTACCTCAAATTACCCCCTCCATTAATCATAAAGCAGTAGTTCAACAAAAAATAATAATAATAATAAAACTAATATCTAAAGAATCCCCAGATCACCACATATAAATCTCAGCCCACCTCCACTTCTTTCCTGTCAATCCACCAGCAACAAGAAATGGCTTTACAAGTTTGAAGGATATGTAGAGCTTCTGTCATGAAAAAGTAGGTTATTTATCATAAAATTATCCAATATGTTGTTGGAACCCTCAAAACAACCACGAGAGAGAAGTAAGAAAAATGAGATGAATCAAGTTGAATCTGCAGGGCAAGCAGGCTTGGGTCTACATTCTAACTTAATGTGGAAGCACAGCAGCTTGTTCAGCAGGGGAAAAAAGCTTTAGTACTAAATAATAAAAAGAGAATTTCTACCTTTTAAGTAATTTCAATCACAAAATTGAATTTTTAAAAGTTAACACTTAACATACACTAGTAGAAAAAAAAAAAAAAGAGAACATTGTGGAGCACACTTATTCGACTCAAACAAAAATTTGTGGTATCGCTCAAGAGCTTCTATGATGAATGTGAGTAATTTGAAGATCCTGTGCAAACAAATACCTAACGATTGACTTTTTAAATTTCAATTAATAGCATAAATAAAATAACATAATAGTTTCTGTTTGATTCATGGTCGATTCCTACCAAAATCCTTAGTAACACTCAATTTTTGGTACCAGCTAAACGACTAAATCCCCAAAGTTGATTCCCCATCAAGCAACATGCCAGTATCAAGGTAGCAAGTTACCCTTGTGGACTTTCTAGCCATATGGATCAAACTGACATGGGAAAGAGGCTCGGAAGTCACTCAAATTCTGGCCATGAGCCTGCTACTACAAGTGATTCAGACCACATGTGACAGTTTCATTTTGCATTTTCTGCAAACTGCTAGACTATGAAAATCCAAAATAATTAGATATGTTTTGGTGCTAAACAGGTCAGTTTTGGTTCAACGAAGATGATAGTACAAGGATACTTGAGGAACTTCTGAGATGTGAAAATGGAGGGGAGCACTTAGTAATTAATGCTAGGCCTTCTATCTTTGGAAAAATCTATAGTTCTTGCAAAAAAGTTTATCTGTACCAGTCATATAACTTATCTGCAGTGTTTTGGAGGTTAGTTTACAAAAGAAACAGTTTGATAAGACAGCTTTCACAAGATTTTCTTATTATTTCACTGTTTTCTGCAGTGCTAGCATCTTTTCTCCACTAGGCATCCATTTCATTTTCTCAAAGAGGAAAAGGACACCTCATAAGGACTGGACGCTACATCTTTCAAGAAAAGGTCTGATTGCTTATTACTTCTATTAGCAATTAAGAAAGTAGGCCTTCCTGTACCAAGACCAATGAGGTTCGGTTTGGAGTGCAAGGTTTTTTGCTCTGTTGGTTGGTTCTTTCAAAGCAACTAGGTAATTCTCCAATCATTTATACCAAGAGAAAAATATACAGGAAAAATGAAAAAAAAAATGGTTCAACAGGAAAATTTCTTTTCTCTTACAAGGTTCACTCCACTCATTTTCAGACGAAAAAAGGATTAGACCACGAGAATACTTACTAAAAATTCCACCAGATATTGTAAACAAGAAAGAAAGCAGTTACCGAAGAAACAACCAAAATTCCACCAATAGTTATCATGCAAAGAATAGACAGAAATTCAGGTGAAAAGATAGAGATGAATGTCTTGTTCGAACAATTCCTAACATGCAAGAAAGAAATTAAGCTGCCTGGGGCAGCTGACGCTGTAAGATTTTGAATCGCGCACAGAAATCGCATGCCGAAGACCAATACTTTGAGACCTTTTAACTCGATACCTCTAAACAATCAGCAGAAGAACTTCAATAATAAGAATAATCAGAAAAATAATAGTAGCAATTCGAACGACCTCAGAGAACTGGGATACGAGCTTGCCCCAAGCAACGGTCCTTGGAGGCCCTTCTTCTCCCTTATATTTCGTCGGCAGATCTAATTCCGGTGAACACTCCACATGTCCTACGACATACCCAAACAGAGTCGACAATTAAAACCGAACGCCCAATGAAAAGGCCTTGTTTTCCCCCAAAAACATCAACCAGGAAATCAAAAGGGGGGACAAAGGACTGCATGCAGAAGGCAGACCGACACCATACCTTGGCCGGACAACCCAATAGGGCCATCCACCTCCATCTCCACCGTCAGGGAAATATCAGGCGAGGTCGACTTGGCAACAACGCCATCATCTTGAGCAGCCAACGACGGTTCCTCCAGATCAACCGGTTCCTTCTCCCTTGGCGCCGGTGACCCTGCCTCCACCTGAAAAATTCAAGGAACAAAACGACCGGCAAAGATCAGAATCCGGTGATGGGGAACGAAAAGGGGATGAAAGATCGCACCTTTGAGCGCTTTGCGCTAGGGGAAACCACCGATGTCGGAGACGGCGGGGTGGGGCAGCGCTTCCCGGCAGCCGCAGCGGCTGAGCTCCGCCTCGTCTCGACCATCTCCGCCTCTTTGTTCGCCCTCTCTCTCCCTCCTACTCCGATCCAAGGTTTTCACTCCACGGGAAGAGAGAGAAGCTACAAAGAAGCAGAGAGAGAGAGAGGACCAGCGACCGAGACGAGACCACCATATAAAGCACGATATACTGAAAAAGATTTATAACTGTAATAATAATAATGTTAAATTAGACGTTATGGGGAGTAGGGAAGGTTGTGATTTAGACGCAATTTGATGAAAAATAATATTATATTTTTTATTATAATCAAAAAATATAAATACACAATATTTATTAACTAATTAATTTCTACAGAATAATATATATATATATATATATATATATATATATCTCTCTTCCAACTCTTATACCCTTAATACATGATTCTGAATAATATATATATATATATAAGATTTCATATAAAAATATATTTAGTATTTAAAAAATATTATATATTTTTAAATAAATATAATTTATCTTAATATTATATATATATATATATATATATATATATATATATATATATATATATGATAAAGATGGGATTGGAGCCCAATATAGTACAATAATCTATCAAGATCAATAACATATTTTATTATTTGTAGTGAGATTTTAATTATTCAATTTTTTATAAGTCCATCACAATCATATAAATATTTTAAATATTTATATTAAATAAAACAAATATTTTAAATAAAAAATAAAAAATTTAGACAAACTTTCACTCTCAAAAGATTCTTTTTTTGTTGTTGTTGTTGTATATTGAAAGATACAGACACATTTCATTTATGAAGCTACCAAAACACCACAAAACTCACACTGCCAATTAAGAGTGTTTTAGACTAATTACTCAAAACACCATCAACTCATAATACCTAAATAAACAAAACTCATCTCAGGCCAGCACTCAGATTCTAATCTCAATCTAAATAGCCCAAATTGGTCCATTAGTCTAAGAAATAAGGTGCCCATGAATTCTACTTTTATTTGTTTTTGGATCCAACTAATTATCAAACCAATAAGTTTATTGATTGGATCATATATTATATAAAAATATAAAGCACATGAATAAATATTATAATATGGTGAATGAGAATGATTAAGTAAATAATATAATAAATTATTTTCTTTCTTTAATTCTTACAAGTATTCCGAAAAGAATACTGTGCTGATGATGCTGAAGACCGGTGGACTCGCGGTGGTTGGACGCGGGCAGGGCCGAGTCGAACCGGTGAGTTGCGATTCGACTCGGTAATAATTGTGGGGGGGGGTGACGAGGGTGCAGCACATGGGCGCCAACGTGGGGCACATGCGCTTCTTCCCTCGGTCATCTTACCGCGTTGGCGTTCCGGAATCCTCACCGGGTTGCACTCGACGTTTGCTCGTTGACTTTGCCGTTTTGGTCAATTGCGTCCCTTTTCCGGTCATTTGTCCATCGCAAACGAAGAAAAGGTTGTTTTATACATCCACTTAACCAATCCATCAATCATAATACATATAAAACAGACTCACTCCACTGATCAAAGATTTAGTGCATCAAATCTTATCTAATGTATTTTTATACTTACTAAAAATTAAGATTTGAAATCGCATTCATTGAATTGAATGTACTATTGACTAGCTTAAAAAAAAAATCAACAATCATGCTTTCATTTTTTTTTATTTCTAATATTAGTCAATCCATATTATACCGTTCGGTTCGATTACATTAAAATTAGTAAGTTTTTGATTTGCTAAACTATTCTTGTTGATTGTGGAACGTCACGAGAAATAGCAAAATGACATCATATTATTTTGAGATAAATGTCTCGAATAATTCGTGTTAGCGAGGTAATAAGAGATGGATGTATTAAGTTACTAAGAAGTATAGAGGAATTATTCGATATAACGGAGCTAAGAGATTAGGGATACATTAATATTTTTTAATTTAAATAAAAATATAATTTTATATATAGCTGAATGGAAAAAAAGAAAAAAAGAGGGATCAAAATTGTTGATTTTTTTTTTTTGGAATTTTCTTAAGAGATTGCTCAAAAAGCAATGCTAAGACTCTATTTGAGTGTGGTTTTGACTAAAGGACTTATGCACTAAATGGATTATGGGCCAAAGAAAAAGGAGATTTGACCTCATGCTATTTAACAAACTAATCTACTAAGAACATGACAAAATATCAAGCAAAAGATGATAAAATGGTTTAACTATCATTTTTGGTATTTTAGATGGCCAAACTTGCAAGACAACTATGGCTTTCTTAATTGAAACTCTTAACATCTTGTTGTCAACTATCATAATAGAGTAGAAATTTTGGTATAATAATATTATTACTCTTTTATAAAAAAATTATGATTTAAGTTATAAAAACAGAATAAGGTTAACATTGACTTTCTTAATCCCATATCGGAAGTGAATAAGATTAAGATTGACTTAAAAAATTTTGATGAGTGCATAATTATTAATTTATTTTAAATATCAAAGGTAAACAAGATTAAAATTAATTTATAAAAATAAAAAAATAAAAAAATTAATTTATAAAAATGATAAAAATATATGATATAAGCCAAATAAAAGAAAAGTGAAATTGTTTCGCTAAATTATCCATGTTAGGCTATATATCAAAATAAATCCCTATTATATTTTTTTTTTGCTATAATCCATGCTTATCAATCGTATAAAAGCTATGCAACATTAGCCAATCAAATTAAAAAGGAAACCATGAATAATATGATACTATAATTGAGCTGTCCTTTCTTTTTGTAGGATGCTATGACCATTCAATTCCCAAACTGCCCCTATATGGCTGAATTAGGTAAGTCAATTGCTTCACATGCTTCAAAAGTGACATGTACGTATTTCATATATATATCTTACTCCCTTACCTAATAATTGCAACAATGTTTGGATTGATGGTCACAATCATTTCCAAGTGGGCCCATGCTTTCAATTAAATCCTAAAACTATTATACCTACAAATATAATTCATGTCATAAGTTATAACATATATATATAGTATTTAATACGAGAGGCTTAGAATCAAAAATTCATTATGTGAGATTAATTATAAATTTATTTATACATGTAAATTAAAATTTTAGTTTCTCTCAGTTCTCTTCAGAGAGAATTTAGTAGCAAATAATTGTTTATAAATATAATTATAAATATTTTAAGCATCTTTATTGGGATTACTTGCCAGGTAGATGTAGTCCTTATCCGTTGGGTGGGGACATACTGTAACATGTTGAAAGTGAACAGGATTAAGATTAACTTATAATGATTTGATGAGTGTAATACTATTATCGTGTGATTTGGCTGCAGCCGCGATCGTGGAGATTGGCCTCGGCACCGGCGCGGCAATTACCGTAGGCCGCACCGCGACGAGAGCAAGGAACGGAGTCTGATTTCAGCATGTTGTAGCTGAGGTAGTCCTGCGTGCTGGCGAGGATCCTCCGGTTGACCTCGGAGTCGAGCACGAAGAACTCGTCGACGGCCCCCGTGAAGAACCCGCCGGATGGTGTGGCCTCCGCGGCGACCAGCAACGGCGCCGCCATGCAGATGGCAAGTGCAGGGAGAGGCAGCAGTCGCCCTTTGCGTCGTCATATGTGGTCTCTCCTCCTATTCACCTTCTTCTCCGATTCTAGTGGGTCGAACGAGAGAGGGCGAGGAGACGCCCGGTCATATAGTGCTGAAACCCGACGACCTGTTCACTGGTTTTGATGCTGCTGCTGCTGCTTGTCGGGGATAGTCTTTGATGTATGATGATACATCATATGGGTCAACCCTTCAACAAAATAAATTGTATTATTAATCAGTTAAAATAAGATAAGTTCGAACCCAAATTGGTTTGGTAAATCAATTTACAATTTTAAATATTTTTAAAAAATATATATTTTGGATCAACATATTAAGATTGATGAAATTGACTTATATCATTTACAAAATTATGATTTTAATTTTAATTTTTTAAAGAATTTTGTATTGATTTGATTAACTTAACTGATTGATTTGATTTGATTTGATTTTCTGATTCGATATGAACCTAATTCAATTAATTTATCATAATAAAAATATAATAACTGACACTCATATTGATTGAACAATTATTCTTACATATTTTATTCACATTAGATAATATTATTTCCTATTTTGACTTGGTCAATGATTACCCAAAGCTACGCGAGTCCCGTATCGAGGCTTACACTACCCACTCCACTCCACTGCGAGAATCCTCGTTCGTTTCTACGTCTGCATCAACTCGGCAACTCGCATGCAAGCTTTCATCACCACAGAACAAGTCAATTACCTGTCCCTAATATTACAGCATATTAACGAAAACATGTTCGGATATTATTCCTCTCATCATACACCATTAGTAGGTGACAACCTTGTTTTCTTTCCTATACACATGCAAGACGATATAGTCTATAAATTTTCTTAAAGAAAAATAATTATCTTTAATTCCATCCGGAACAATAATTTTATTTCCTTGCAGGATAGGAATAAGATTCAATCTGTAACTATTAACAAAGAAATACAATTAATTTTAACTAAAGAATTGGATCACAATAATTATTTTCCGACAAGACAAACTAGAGAACAACATTTTTAGAAGCATGCTCAGTCCTTGTTTGCAATGGGTTCACAAATCCATAATAGAGAAACAAGAACAGCTCGGAATAAATTAACACCAATATCTCTCTGTAAAAGACTGAAATGAGCATTAGAAAGGTTAATAATGAATCCACCAGCTATCTAGCACAAGAAAAAATAATAACTAAAGCTAATGTGCAATGAAGGAAGAATGTGTTGGAGGCACTTGATGATCAGGCCAGATGTTGGAAACATGGGAAGCAAAATCAGATAAAGCTCACAATGTCAACTCATATGCACAAATATTATATATATATATATATATATATATATATAGAATCTAAACTTGAAAAAAGTAAAAGCATAAAAAGAATAAACACTTCAGAGAGGATTAGATGTCACTAAATCCATGCAGAGTATTGTCTTGATCTCGACAGCTTGAAGGGCACACAAACCTCAAAGTACTTCCGAAAAGTTGTATTCTTTTAATAGTTACATAAAACAAAAAGGAAAATGAACAGAAATAATTCTTTGATCAGTCTCACACGATAATGCACTGAAAATTTTTGAACTGTAATTGCATCAAAGAAATTTAGATGAATTACACATACCAAATTATAGATCATGCTTTAGCCTAGTGATGGTAGTCTTACCCAAAGCATCATATAGTCAAGAAAGAAAACAGTTATTACCAAGTAAAACAGGTTTGATCAAACTTCATAAAATATGTGCCAGCAGCTTCTATCCAAAATTTATGTTAAAAGCTATACCTACACAATTACTTAAGCTGCAAACTGTTAAGATCCTAAAAAGCAGAACAGCCTACTGTGCTATTTAACACTACAATTAATGAATAAAATAGAGGATAAAAGGCTCACACATGGCTTTTATTGATGCTAAAGAAGTATACAATAGAATCCATAGAGATAGATATGAAGAAAACAAAGAAGTATAATTACATTGCTGTAAGAACAGATTTTATTATGGAGTTATCAGCAGTGTTAGGACAAAAGGAGTGTTCAGCGAGTTCCCCAGAACAATAAAGGTACTTGAGGATCTGTTTTAAGTCCACATTTTTCACCTTGTTAAATGGATTAATTAGACATACTCTAAATATGGTGTATAATCACTAAATATCAGTTCCAATTTTAACTCAATTTAAACTGTCTTCTTGTTGCCTATTGTCTCTTTGTAAGACATGCTAATCATTCACATAAATTCCTTCTCCAAAGATGCAAAATAAATATCACAAATAACCATTTTAAAATTACAAAAGTGGTATTAAAACATCCTAATCAGAAAATATACCTATCCAATACATAAGATATCTTGTAACAAAAAGAATATAGATCTCAAGCAGCATATCACTACATAAAATTGGTTCAATGATAAATAAGAAACATGCACATGGCAAAGCAATCTGTGGCAAGAGCTCCATCCAGCCACCATACAACTCTCTACAAAGATACACGGCATGCACCAGTTCAAGTGAAAAAACTGTTTGTATGTAGACACAGTTGCACACATGATCTCATTGCATTAATGTAGAATAAAAAAAGGCTCCAATATTGTCCAAGAAGTGTAACCAAGAATGTGCTAAAATACATAGTGGATAAGAGAACCGACTGGGCAAAGATTAGACTAAAGTCACTAACCACACATGAAATGATCAAGAACCAAAATTGGAAAAGCCAGTACCACCGATACAACACAGATGACCAAAGATTTTATAGAAAAAAGGATCAGAGCAAAAATTAATGTTCACGAATGACAACCCTCATTTTGACAGGTCCCTTTCCCTACATCGTTTAAACAAAGTCTCACCGGATTTTTAGTAGATGCTCTTTCAGTAATCATTCTCTTCAACACTGGTTAGTGCTTTTTCTGTGATTTTGAAGGTATTTTTCCATATGCCATAAGCCTGGACCTCGACAGTTTCAATTCTGCTTGGCGGCGTCTTCTTCTACTACGCCTAGATGAGTTATTTACTTCCTCATCATTTGGTTCCTCCATCTCAGGTACCTGTTTTTCCTTGTCTGGCTCTGTAGAAACAGAAATTCCCTTTGGTTTGCTCTTCTTGCTGCTCTTCTGGTCGGATTTTTCTCCATGAAGAATCAAATCCTTCTTCAACTTCTGATGATATGTGACCTTCCACTCTTTCTCCCTATATGGTGCTAACTTCTTCAGAGAAACATATTGGTTCAAGTCCTTGTCATTTGCCACTAAAATCTCCTCAGGCCGCATCCCAAATCTATTAGCTGGAACAGACTTATATTTGAATCGAGTTTTGAGGTCCCCGATTGTATCTTCATAATCCAATTTATAGTACTCCTCCAATTCCTTATCAAGCTCCACCTTCTCCTTGAGAGAGATTTTACGCTTCTTCTTCCTCTTACCATCCTCTTTCTCTGGTTCCTCTTCCTCCCTCTGTTTCAATATCCTTTTCCTAGTTGCTTCAAACCCCTCAGTTCCACTAGTATCCCAACCCTTGGGAAGCCCAAGCAACTCATCCTCCATGTCGAAGTCTGGTTTCTCCAAATCCTCATCTTCCTGACTCCCAAATCCAGGATCGACATCCTCAGCATCATAATAAACATCCCCAAACATCTCTTTCATCTTCTTATCATATTCCTCAGGATCAAAGTCCTCCTCCAGATCATCTTCATCTAGCTTGACAGTCCCATCATCTCCGATCCCAGCAATTGCTCTGATCTTCTCGAGCTTCTCCTGGATCTCCTTCTTCTTCAGGTTCTTCAAGTGCTTCAGCTCCTCCTTCCTCTCGAACTCTGCCTGTGCCATTCTCTCCTCCTTGCTCTTCCTTTGCAATTTCCTACTGCTCGTCTTCTTCCTCACTGATCCCTCGATGACCCTCGAGTGACCCAACACTCGGTCTGCACCCCCTTCCTCAAACCTGAAGTTGTAATCAGCCTCGAACTTATCCTGCTTGTCCAGCTCATCCTCATCCTCTGAAACACCAAAGAGATCATCAAAAGAAGGCTTCTTATCCTTTTCCTCGCCAATCCACATTCTGTTCCGCAGGTATTCCTTTAAGAACTTCTCATTATCGCTCAGATCATCGTCCTTCCCGAAATACTCATCCAAGTTCTGATCCATCTTTTGGGTGTTCTCGTCCTTCTCTGCTTCTCCAGCCTTCTCCTTCATCTTCAGGATATCGTCCTCATCGTCGACGTATGCGAAAGCTGCCTTCTCCGCTTCCAAGAATGCCTTTATCCCCTCAGCCTGTTCCTTGTTGTAGACCTTCGAGTCATATTTGAATGGCTTCTCCTCAAATTCTGGCCCCTCTTCAATCAAATGTCGAGCGTTGACGTCCTTCAGGTACAAAGGTCGCTCCTTTTTGGCAGCCCTTGGCTTCTCATCCTCCTCCTCATCGGAGGAATAGACCTTCACGTTGTCGGATAGGATGAAGGGGTCCTTTTTCTTGACCCTGACGAGGGTCTCGAAGAACTTGAGGTCGTTCTTGCCGGACTTATCTGGTTCCTCGTCTTCATCGTCATCATCACCGGAGGACTCCTCGGAGCCGTCAGAGCCACCGGCGAGGCCGCGCTTCTTGAGTTCCTGCAGCCGCTGAAGGGCCTCGCGGCGCTTGTTGTGCTCCAACCGCCGCGCGTAGTTCTCGTCGACCTTGATAGTGGTAAGCTCGGCTTCGTCAGTGCTCGAATCCGATCCATCGAACAGATCGATCGCCATGGGATAGCCAGGAATCTGGGTCGGCGAAAACCTAACTCAAGATGTGATATCTATCGATCGACAAAACCCTAGTTTCTGTCATCAAAGAAGAAGTGGCGGCCTTGGCTTCGACGGCATTCGGATCCTCTCCAATTCGGATAATACCGGTTCCCTCCGATGCACAATGTTCACCCTTCATCTGTCAGATATTTACATCCCAACCGTTCAATCCAACATGCCAACAATACCCTCCATTCAATCATTTTCTAATTTAATTTAATTTTATTATTCCTAAACTTTAGGATGAATTGTACTAAAAATTAGACTAAATATAAATATACTAAAAAGTATATCCACTATAAAGCATACCCTTCATTTATCGGGCAAAAAAATATTATTAAGTCAAAAAATACTATTCTTTTGAGGTCCTTTGCCGTTTAAAAAAAATAAAAATATATTAAAATATCTTATCACGAGTTTTTTTGTGGAGTTGACGTGAGTCAATACGCCCGACTTAGCTTGCTGGACTTACTTGACCCGATTTGATTTTCTGACTTAGTTGATTTGATTTGATCCTCTCGATATGTTCCTTTTTGATTGAGAGTGGCAAAGGTAGTAGTAAAGTAAAAGGGTGTGACTACACGATGATGTGATAAGGTATAACAGGTAGTTTCTTTATGGTAACTGTATAGTTTCAACGATGGTTGTGAGTCCTATGGATTGAAAAGTTGGAACTTTGATGGACGATGGTGTAATGGTTTAGGAAAGTCGGAGACGATGACGTGCACAGGATTGAAAGTTATGATGTGTGGTATGCTATGGGTTAAAAGGCTAGACCTAGTGGTACATAAAGATCTAGGAGGTTGGGTATGATAGTATGATAAAGGATCAATAATCAGGTATGATGGCACATAAGGAACCAAAAGGCTCGGTGCGATGGCACGATAGAGTTTAGCGATCGAGAACGATGATGCATAAAGAACTAGAAGGCTAGGGCTGTGACACGATAGGGATTAGCACCACCACCATGCGATAGTGTAGGAGCCTGGCTAGGGTACATGTTGGGCACGCTCCCTTTTTAACGAGTGGGAGAAGCTGGGTGGATCCGAGTATAGCCCGACAAATCCACGTGTTGTACTCACCTACAATGAAAGAGATGTTATGGTAGAATCATTAATTAATGCGTGGTCATTGCAGGGATCGTGGCCGATTTGATTGTGATTTTTATGATGATCTGTCTGACCGTTGCGATATAAGGATAGTGTCGCATATCCCACCTCATCCAGAACTATTCTGTAATTAAACAGATGGTCGAGCATATGAAATATCTATGTTGGGTTCTATAGATATCCAGCAATTGCATCAGCATTCCTCATCTTAGTAACCAAAACCCTTGCTAACAAGCACTTAAGGCACCCCAACAACCTCACTTCCTAAAGGTTTACAATGTTATCCACAGCCTCCTCTTCCAACACTATGGAATTAGATAGGTCATCATCCTCGTCACCACCCTTGGTGTTGGGCTGCGAAAGCTTTGATCTTGGAAGGAGCTGAGTCGGCCACCCCGATGGTGGCTACGAACTCCTTAGTGGAGGCGAATACATTTAGTTTTGTGGCTCCACCACCAGAAGTGGAGTCCATTGACTCAGAATCTAAGGTGTCAGTCTCCAACTTGGAGTTGTTTTGGGATATTATCACATATCGGTCGAGTTCGAGCTACTGCCTGCTCGGCTACTTAGCTTGGAAGAGGATTTGGTTTTAAATTGCTAATGGAGGAGGAGAACTGGGCAGTGCTTGGGTCTAAGCCGGGAATGACTCAACTACTTATCTCGAAAGAGGTGCAGGTGGCAGAGCAGGATCAGGAATAGGGGAGACAAAAGTAGGCGAAGCCTGTTTAGCTACTTAGGTGATTTGAGGTAGGTATGAAGTGACGATTTGAACTATCCTTGTAAGAACTTGCATTTGCTAAAATAGAGTATAGAAAGTTTCCATAGGGATAGACATGGTTGCGATAGGATACCATTGGGTGAAAATCGACTCATGAAAAAATTGACAAAAGATGTTAAGGCTTGGAATAAGAAGTGAGTTTTGCTCAATTAGAACTCCCACGGCCCTTGATTTGGGAGCACTAAAATTAGGGGATTTAGATTGAGAGTGTTTAGGGCAATTTAGGTTCGAGTCCTCATGATTTGTTTGGGATGGTCTTATGTGATTCTCTTGAAATATAACAGTCAACTCTTCTTCTAATGCCAAACTAGATCTAGCCTGATTATGTTTCAAGCCGATCCATGGGAAATTCGCCAAGTTGGATGTTCTAAACTCTACAAAACTGTTGGAGATAGGCCCAATAATATCCCTCGGTTGTTCAAGTCAATACTCAAGAGTCAGACTAATCTAATAGGTCAGACTAATCAAACAAGCTCAATTTGACTATTTATTGTGTATCAAGTGATTCCCTTTATAGCGGATTCATAACCATATTTATAGATTCTAGATAATTATATTTATCTGTTAGATCGATTAGTACCCTTGATTTGCATTAAGCTATTTACTTGTTTTCTCTCTTAGGCATATGTTAATTAATTATTTACACATATGCTGCCCAACATGATATCATAAGTACAATCATGTATGACGTTCATGTGTTAGCCCAATTCGTATCCACTATATAATAGTTAGAAAAAGACTTTAAGCTAAACCAAAAACTCTTAGTTTTGCTGCACTTTCATCACATTCTTTTTCATGATCAATTATTATTTAATGCAATTACCATACAATTCCTGAGGTCTTATATTCTTACTTTATAAACAATACTTCCAAACTCCTGCTTAATCTGCAGCTCTTAATTTGATTATTTGATATGTGTTGTTGTATGATTCCCTCATCAACCCAATGAGATACGAGCCCTGAAGGAGAAGAGCTTTGGAGAACAGAAACCCTCATGAATTGCTCCTTAATTAAGATACATTCCTAAGCAGATTGATTCGATCCTTTCATTTAACACCTCATGTTGGCCCATCAATTGTCTTTTGAGATGGTCTTTGTAGCCTTCTTGTAAAAGCTGGCAATGCCTTCATAAGGTCCAGTCTCGTACACTGATCATCACTGGTGCAAGTTCTTTGTACTACGAGGAATTTGCCCTGAAGCTCGATCGAAGATTCAACTAATCACCATGAATTCAGCATTGTTGTTCCATGTGGAGCTGCTGCCTGATGCTAGTTGTTGCATTAAGCATGATTTTTGGGGGTTTTGTGGGTACCAAAAACATTGTTCTCTTCCTAAAGAATTCCCTGATGATAGGGATATAAAGTGAAATAACCTTTATATATGAATAAATACTAGAATACCATGATATGCAGCGAAATTAAATGAAATCACAATCAAATAGAACACCAAGATATACATGGAAAATCCCTTTAATGTGAAGGGTAAAAATCACGGGGCAAACTAGAGATAATCCACTATGAGAATAATGAATATACAAATCTCAATCTTTTACCCTAAACCCTAGCAACAATCACAAGAGAATAACTGGGATACAAGGATCACATCACTGCTTACAATATCTAAAACCTCCCCAAGTAAACACAGTAAGAGTCTGCTGTAGATTTGATCTAACCTGAGATGAGAACACTGCTAGATGATTGAGAACAGTCTCTCTGTGTTGTCCTTGTCTTCTTCCCTTTCTTTCTCTTCCTTTTCTGCCTTGTTTTCCTTCTTTTCTTTGGAATCTCATGGTTGTATTCTTCTTTCACGTTGCTGTCCTATTTATATCTTTTTCTGCCTCCAAAACGTAACCACTACACTCCCATAATGTTCATTAGGGTTAAGTTAAAAGGGGGTGAGCTGTCAGCCCACTATGAACTGTCAGCCAAACACATGAAGCAATGTAGAGTCTGTAAAGAAGGCAAAACATCCAATTCAACAAGTTCAACCCCTCTTCAGGATCAAGTTTACAATACCCTTCTTCCTAGTTGTCCATGTCCAAGTGAATCAGAGAACCAGAGACTTATCATTCTACTTGGGAGTCCAAACTAAAAACTTGGAACAGGTCTTGCAAAAATGCAATGAAGCACTTCAGCCGGCCCCATTGAAGGGAGAACTTGACATGGCCACACAGTACTTGAGGTCGCAGCATTAACACTTCCTTCCAAACCAGTCAAACTCAAGCCGCAGAAAAGGTCAGCTGAATCTGACACAATTAGGTCCTTCTCCTCTTTCAGGTTTTAGACATGTTGTAGTAAACTAGTGTTGGTCTGCTAATTCCTCATTCTTTGTCTATACATTTGCATGAGAAATAGCAAAAGACAATTCAGATCACACACACCATTCTTAACCTCTAGCGTTAGTCATTTTCTAGATTATCTTTGAGAGAATTAACTATGGAAGATCCAATTCCTTTTTGTCATGAATGATACCTTCAAACAACCAAACCTCACATGACAACAGCTCCTCCCGCTTGGACTTCATCGAACACTAAAGAACAGAAAACTTGACATCAGAAAAGAACCGAGGGAAACATGGCACTGTAGAAGAAGAAGAAGAAGAAGAAGAAGAAGACATTGGAACTGCAATTCAATTAACACCACCAGAACAGAGTACTTGACTCATACAAGTAGTATAAGTTCATACAGTTAAGCACTTGGGTACATCTACAGACACATTCGTCCAACACCTAATGGATGACGAAACCAAGGAAAGGATATGCTATGAAGACTTCCGGATTCCGGCTACCCGCCGGCGACGATCACATAAGATTGCATGCATTCGGGTTCTCGTCGCTGAACACGTTGTCATGCGGCGGCTGCATCGGTGCCGGCAAGCTAGGTTCCATGGAGCCGTAGTAGAACTCCGGAGGCGGAGGATATGGCATGTACACGTACCCCTGCGAGGACGGCGGCATCGGGGAAGCGTAGTAGGCTTGGCTGACGGTGGGTTGCGCCATGTTGTAGCTCATGACGTACGCCGGAGGCGGGGGGTACGTCGGGTGGGAGTACGTGTGCTGCGGTGGTGGTGGTGGTGGTGGGTTGATACTGCCGCGATTTGAATTCGTTCCGACGTCCTCGGAGCTCCGTTTCTGTGACTTGTTGCCTTTCTTCTTACCGCCACCGTTATCGCTGCTCGCTTCACTGACGGCGGAACTCTTCTCAGTGCTGTCAACCGTAGCGGCCGGCTTCTCAGGCTGCTGAGTAGCAGTGTCAGCCTTCTTTGCATCAGAAATCTGGGGCTCTTCTGTGTTGCTCTCCTCGGGTTTGCTATCGGCTTTTGCAGGCTCTGTTTGAGGTTTGGCTCCAGCTTCGGTTTTGTTAGCATCCGAAGCCTTGGCAGGGGCGGCGGCGGCAGCAGTGACAGCAGCGCTAGTCTCAGAAGGGATTGACTTCTTCTCAGGGTTCTCTGATGGCTCTTTGGGTTTAGAGGAGGCTTTGCTCTCCTTCTTACTGCTGTCGTCGCCAGTGTTGGGATCTTGGTTGCTGGGTTTCTTCTCCGGCCACAGCTTAGCCTGCTTGCCCGACTTGGATAGCTTCTTGATGAGAGTTTCAGCATCGACAATGGCCTTGACTGTGACTTTGTTCTGCCTTGCGTCGATCTCCGAATCATAAACGCCTGCAAATGATGCAGCAGAGTGAAGTTGATCATAAGGCGAGGAGGCTCGGATTGCACGATCTCTGAAGGCCAGGTTACCTGGAATGCTTCTGAGGATTCTCTTCACCTTCTTCTTGCATCCTTCACAGTGGATGGAGACCTTTAACACCCAAGTCTGAGAACAAGAAAGATTGCGTTTAAGATAATAGTATTTGGAGAAAAAGATTTGAGGAGGAGAACATCAGTGCCTTGTATTTGAGAGATTCTGAAGGCTCTTCTCCTGATGCCATGGCAGTATTTGCTACAAAAGTGAAGATTGATTGATAGAGGGTAGAGATGAGGATGGCGGATGTAAGACTCGGAAGGGGGATGGCAGAAGCTGCTGCAAAGAAATATATAGACGGGCAAGTGGAGTTGGAACGGATACAGTCACACAGACCGAGGTGAGAGAATGAAAGAGTGTTATGCTTAAGATGCGCACTCTATTGGAGAACAAAATCCATATACATATATATACATATATATATATATATATATATATATATATATAGAGAGAGAGAGAGAGAGAGAGAGAGAGAGAGAGAGAGAGAGAGAGAGATCCATTGGTATTATTGAAGGATGATCAATGAATGCTGTACGGAGAGTTACACCCTTTTAGTAAAAGAAAAGAAAAAGGAAAAAAGAAAGAAAGAAAGGAAAGCTGAATAAGAACAAAAAGAATTCATTTGATGAAATCGTAGGATCCATCAAATCGTCTTCTTCTTCTTCTTCTTCTATACGTATTCTGGCTATCGGTTGGTGATCATTCTTCATGGGAATGATTACAAACTTTGATCAATAAGAGAGGCGTAAATGCTGCCAAAAGGAAACTTCATTATTAAGAAGGAAAAGCCATCGTGCATGAAATAACCAAACAAAACCTCCAATCATATGATGCCACCAACCAGAGACATGCATATGAAGAGAAGCATGTCCTTTCTTGCAGGCAAAGTGATTCCCTCGTCTTCCGAGAGAAATATGTGAGCTTATTAGTTAGGCATTAATTTATCTTTCCCTGTCAAATGATGCTGTAATGGATGGGTCGGCACATAGCTTATGCGAGATGAGATGACTGAGTTGCAGAGAAATCTTCTGCACCAAGCTTTCACTGTTTAACAATCAGTCCTTCATTCAATGGTGGCAGCAGCAGCCTTTACCCTCAGCTCTTTATCACAGAAAAAGCAAGTGAATTCTGAAAAAGGCCAAAAGGCAACTGGTGTTTGAATTACTTTTCCTCTTCTCTTACTTTGGCCACAAATCTGTAACTTATATGGTGTGCACTGTGAAAAGCCAGAGGTCTTCTGCATCGGTGGCTCTGCCAAAGCAAAAGGAAACACCAATAGATAGATAGGTGGGCGGTTTTCTATCGGAGCAGGAAGAACACTTTTTTTGGCATTCTTTCGTGTGCTCTTCGATTTTGGTTGCATCCTTTGATATGAAGGGTTGAAGCCAAAGCAAGCGGAATATTCTGGCTGTTGAGTCTAATCTCACTTGTTCTCAGTAGTAAACTGAGGCTTCACCTCATGTTAAGTTTAGCTCAACCTGCCACCACAGGCAAGCTCAGGACAGAAGCTGTGAGGTGACTCCACTTCTTTTGATGAGAGAGAGAGAGAGAAGTGATGTACACTGAAATGATCTCGTTGACTGTTAGGTACAGGGGTTCCAGTGTCCTCTGAAACTGACACCGATGGCCTCTGGGTCTACAGCCACAGCCCTGGGCTTCAGCTTCCCTGGTTGCTCTTCACGAAGGAGAATCGATAGGTATAGTACTCCAATGGTGGCAACAGGGGGACCTGATGATGATGATGTACATGGAGCTCTCAGCTTCATCTGCTCGATGGCTAAAGTAGAAATCCCACTGAACAAAAGGCTGTGTGGGTTGTGACTCCAAAAGCTTCAACGTCTTCAACCTCGGGTACCAGAGAGAGCAGTGAGAGAAAGGAGTTCCCAAGAGAGTTCTTCGACTGTTTGGCCATCCGATCAAACAGGTGATCCCACCACATACATAGTTATCCGCAAGAATTATTGGCCATTGCGTCAGCTTAATGCTTAAGCCTGTTCCTTAGTGACCGCTGAAAAGGAGAACTCATCCTCGCTGCACTAAATGGCTTCCACGATAGAAAGTTAAAGCCAGAAAAGAATGAAAGAGAGAAGAGCAGTAGAGGCACACAGAGATCGAATCACTGACTCCGAAAAAACGTTGTAGATCATATGATCTGCCAAATTATAGAATTAAAGGTCGGTCGAGCAAATATGTATATTCGAGAAAATATAGGGACTCAATTTTATTATGGCAGCAGAGACAATTGTTGAGTATGATAGGGATGGGATGGGCGTGATGTATCGAATTGATTGAGTTCATCTTTCTGTCATGCATCACTCTCGTTTGTATCCAATATGTCAACCCATTGTATGTTCTCCAGTCGTAGATTTAATATTTCCACAGAGAACATTTCCTTGGAATTATCTTTAAGAGATCGATGAACTATCTATCTATCTTATCCTTGAGTTTAGTAGGTTACATAAATTACCAAGACTAAATTAGTTTAAAGCCAATAAAAAGTTGCTTAGGTGTTTAATCATGTGATGAGTAGTAGAAACACATGAGAGTTACTTGAGATAGACAAGTGTAAAAGCTGTGTCAAAATGTTTCTGGACGGCTTCAAATTATACTTAAAAATCAGTATCAAAACTAAGAAAATTAAACTTTTATTGAGCATCTTATTAGAACGAATAATTTTCTTTTCCTAACCGAAATATTTGTGATAACATCATCCATCATTAGACTTTTACTAAGTCTCTCCGAACAAACTATTTTCTTTCCTTATTTTGAAGTATTTGTGATAACATCATCATTAAACTTTTATTGGAATTTATTGGAGCATCTTATTAGAACGAACAATTTTCTTTTCTTAACCAAAATATTTGTGATAACATCATCCATCATTAGACTTTTACTTAGCCTCTCGAAACGAACTATTTTCTTTCCTTATTAGAAGTATTTGTGATAACATCATCATTAAATTTTTACTTAGCCCTTTCATTATAATGAATTACTTTCTTCTCATAATCAAAGGATTCATAATAAAAGGTGTAGGAAGAATATAAAATAAAAAAGATATTTATCATCATGCGAAGATTGATGCATAAAAATCGTGAAACTGAAAAACACGTGTGAGATAGTTGTGTTAACTAGGGAGATCGTACATCCTTGAATTTTTGTAGATCTGTAAGAGAGGATGAAGGAGGTCAAGTGTCCTTTCTCTAGCGATAATCCACGTGATAGGGGCTATGAAGATGCTCCTTAAATCGCTACCAAAATCTCTACACCTGCTGGTTAAGGAGGAAAAGATGAGAGAAAAATAAGAGGTGCCAACCAAGAAGTCTAGCCTGTAACCCTTTAGTTCTCTTCTATTTATAGAGGCTCTCTATCAACTTAACCATAATGGATCCTACCCTATTGGGTATTGGATCTTCATCCAACTACCTAAGCCTCTTAGATTAGTGGATCTCTATCCAATAATCTCTCATTGGCTCTTATTAGATCTAGATCCAATAATTAAGAGGCTTATTCGATATCCAATATGATAGGAGCTCTAGCGGATATCTCATATCCGAACCTCTACTCGTCGCAATACCTACTATATGTGTATAACCCTCCCCAATATCGAGCTGGTCATGAATTATACTTGTCAGAGCTCCTTCTTGCTCAGTAAATTATTATTCATATAATAATTCACTCAATTCATCGACTACGGATGTATTAGACCACTACACCGTAGTCCCTAGATGATACATAAGAATCCAATCATTTGGACATATCTATCCTCAGTTGTCATGTACTTATAGTCTCTCATTCATCTAATATCCTAAAGACTATACACCGAACATGATACTATCATGCTCATACGGTTTTTCATTTAGTCTCACTATAATCGGATTCTCTCGAAAAACTCTTTCTGTCTCAATTCGAATTACCTTGGCCAAGGATTTGTCTGAGCAAGAACACATGAGATATTTTTCTCTTGATATTGAGAGCGGATGACCCTCTATCGACACTTAATAGCTCTCGTAAGATTGGTTGTCACTCTTGATGACCGATTATACTAATCTGAATTTTTTAAACCTATAAGTCTAGTATCAAAGAGTAGATTATTCATATAAAACATCTTTTTATCTTAAATCTAAGGACTAGGTTTTCGATTGGGACGATGAAATTATTGTTTAACAATGAGATATTATCAACTATTTAGTATTCTATAAGTGAATTAATTAGTAAACTCATTCTCTAATGTCCTCACCTATAGTCCTAGTGTCCTCACACGAGCAACTATGAGACCAACCGTCTCTATCATATAAACGGGTATATAACACACTAGTCTAGTTATCTCGATATTTCTATCGAGTAACTTATAACCAAGATTATTTAGGATCTATGTTTAAAGGTGAATCAATCTTATTATCGTGAACTCATCACGATCTAATTCCTATTGTACAAATCTATTGACATCATAATTAATATATAAATATATATATAATAAAGAATATAAAGTGAGAAAAATATCATAATAATAATAAGCAAAAAAACTTTATGTTATGTCACACGTATAATCACTCACCTGATTGGCTTGCAGGATATATATTACTAGCAAAATTATCATTGCTAATAAATTAAATTATACTTTTTCTAAATCCAATAATAAAAAATTCTTGTATCCTTCTAAAATATCTTTGTATCACATTAGGTCCTAAACTCTTGATCTTGATTTCATGATCAAGCAAGTTTGCTATTGCATTATAATATTTTTTTGACATGAAACTTAAATAAATCATTTATGGATGTTATATAAGATACAAATGGGTTGTAGTTGAGCTCAAGCCCAAATAAATTAGAGGATCCATCCAATAGAACCCAAAGGGGGGGTATTTTTGGCCCAACTCAATATATTAGGATGGATAGGATGACTATTTTTACCTATTTAAACCCTTCTAAATCAAATTAGGCCGCTTACTAATCATGTTAGGACAATTGCATTGGACTCCTCTCTCTATGAATCTAACTCGGACTAGAATAGTAATAGATCGGATCTTTTTGACTTGAGGTGCATCTAGATATGGTAGGTTGGATTGTGATCAAAATAAATTGGTTCGTCTATAATACGAGTCAAATTTGGATATAGATATCTACAGTAAAACCTATTTTTGGGCAAATGGGGGTGATTGATGATTGGGAATCCTTCTAGTTGAGCTTTTGTTATTAGAGTAAAATTATGGCTAATTGGACCATATTAGTTTACCACTTGATGGGCCATTAGTTTACCTCTATCAAGTGCATCAATCTTTTTTACTTTTGAGTTGTTCATATATCTTGAACGATTAAGTATGAAAGAATGAATACAAAGAATAATTTTTAAAGTATTGATGGTGTTCTTTTTGGA